TATAAAGTGACCTGAGATGACATGATGTGAATTGGAGCTATAGAAATAAACTGAATAGAATAGAACTGAGGACAGAAGATGAAGATGATGAGGACAGATGAAGGACGGAAGATGGCTGACATGGACCATAACCATCAATCATTTCTGTTCAGAGATGAGGTGTGTGATGGCAGAGCTTCACCCTGCATGGCGTCTTCCCGCTGTTTCTCTTCTGCTCACTAATTAGTGTGGATCTACTGACTGCTGCTCTGAGTGGGCGGAGCTTGGTGCTAAAAAGCTAAAACTGTTTATTGATTGTAACATTGATATTATTGACAGTTTAAGGCCTGAATGTTTGGTTTTATTCTGCAGTCTGGAGATCAAGCTAAGCAGTCATTCTGCTGAGATGGGAAACCCTCTGCTGCCCTCTGGTGGATCTTTAAATTCTCTGACTGGATCATGACTTGTTTGAAGTAAAAAAATGAACTGGAACTAAAATCTGAAGGAAGATTAACGGCTATAAACCTACAGCTGAGGTCTGATCTGATTTCTTTTTTAAGTTATTCTCTTAATTAATTATTAGGTTGCTTTTTTATCCAGATTCTGATGGGTCATTAATCATCTATTTATTCAGGTTAATGTTTGACTCTCTGTCATTTTTAGTCCATCCATCCTGTATTAATCCCTCTGTTTGCTAACGTAGATATTTTACTTCCTTCATCTTCTGTTGCTGCCCTTTAACCCCGCCCCTCCCCAGGTGTTCCTACCTGAGGGCCCCTTTTTTAAAATATTCTGCTCATCAACATAAATTTGTTGTTGCTGTGTTTCTAATCAATGTCATTAAATTCACAGCTCGAAATGTTTGTTTTTATGATAATAGAACAGAAATACATCATCATGCAACTACTTCCTGTCAGATTCTTCTTATTTGTTGCCATAGTAACGTCTATCTGTTGATCATTTGACTTGTGATGAAAATAAACATAGCATGGTGTAACAACTGTTGTTAGATGCAGGGTTTCAATCAGGCCGATGTTTGTAATGATTCATATAAATATAGATAGAGGCCCAAACTTTATCCCCAAAACTATTTGCTCCCCCCCGTTGGAGGGGTGTGCCTGACCTCAGTAACCATGGCGACAATGGCCAGACACACCTGGACTGATCAGTTCATCCGGTAATGAAAGACAGGAAACAGAAGAGTTCAGGAAGCAGTGGGATGTTTCATTGAACCCACTGATCTCTATTTATTCACTGGTTGCTGGTAGCCTGAAAAAAGTTAAGTCACCTGCTGCCATCTTGGTACTCCCCACTCCCACAGAGACTCCCCATATAAACCCCTCCCTGTGCAGCAATTAGCTGCTAAAACCAGCAGTTTCTGTCTGCAGGAAGACGTTCCTCAGCCAATAAATCCATCTATAGCCGATGGATCCTATAGTTTAGTCTGCAGACTAACATTAGTCTGTAGACTAACATTAGTCTGGCTATCTCAGACTGACTGGAAGACATTGACTGAGTTAGACGCTGACATTGGGTCTAAGGTTAGAAAATAGAAAGTAGAGGAAATAGAAAGTAATTCACTGTGAAAT